TATCCCATTTGTAGACATAGATGAGTGTCTAGAGACAATAGGTATCTGTGAAAACGGTCAATGTATTAACACGGACGGCGGTGTTATCTGTGAATGTCCAGTTGGCTTTCAATTGAGTGACAAACCTAATTCGATGAGATGCATTGACGTTAGGGAGGAACAATGTTATGATAGTTATAGACGTGGCCAATGCTCTTTCCCTCGGAAAGGTGGAATGACGAAGAAACATTGTTGTTGTACCATGGGTAAAGCTTGGGGGAAATATTGCGAACAATGTCCACCAGAGAATAGTGGTAATTACAAAAAGATTTATCTTCATATATATATATGTATATGAAAGTGATAAAAATTATAAATGATAACGATTTCTTATAAATTTATTCATACAGAGGATTTTAGAAGATTGTGCCCAGAAGGAGTAGGTAGGGATGACACTGGTATTGATCTGAACGAATGTCTTTTTATGCCGGATGCATGTTCCGGTGGCGAGTGTATAAATACCGATGGATCCTTCCGATGCGAGTGTCCATCTGGTTACGTTTTGGACGAAACTGGAAGACGTTGCATTGACAATAACGAATGTTTAACAGTTCAGAATATTTGTGGCAATGGTACCTGTACCAATATAGATGGTGGCTTCGAATGTTCCTGTAACGAAGGTTTCACACCAGGTGTCAATCAGATCTGTGAGGATGTTAATGAGTGCCTTGAATTAGGTAACCAATGTGCCTTTAGATGTCATAATGCACCTGGATCGTTCAGGTGTATCTGTCCGTACGGATATACTTTGGCTCCTGATGGAAGACATTGTATTGGTACGTTATAATAATCAATAAATTACTAATTTAAAAAAATCTTGACATCTCTATACTAAGTTTTGTTTGATCAGATGTCGACGAGTGTGCCACACCAGCGAACAATTGCAAATACCAATGTAAAAATCTTATCGGTACGTTCATGTGCATTTGTCCACCTGGATATCAACAAATTGGTATGGCCGATGAATGTAAGGACATTAACGAGTGCGCTATTAATTCTGGATTATGTAGACATGGACGTTGCGTCAATTTAGAAGGAAGTTATCAATGTTATTGTTACGATGGTTTTGAACAAAGTGCCGATGGAAAATCATGTATTGGTGAGATTACAATTACGTACTATCTATTTAAATTATTAATTTTGAAATCATGTTTTTATATCATTTGCATTTCAATAATAAAATTATGATAAAAATTTAATTATTATCAATGATCAATACATATAAAGAGTACTTCTTTTATAACGATATGTTTGAACGATATATTAATCACGTAATGCGATTGTTAATTTAAGAAAATCATTATTACATTTCATGATCAGATCGTAGAGTTGGTTATTGTTTCCTACAAACGATCGGTGGTAGATGTACAGCAAGGACCTCAGAATTACGTACTGTGACTAAAGCGGATTGTTGTTGCACGATGGGTGCTGCATGGGGTCCACATTGTGAGATATGTCCTTCGAGAGACTCAGAAGATTACAACGAATTATGTTTGGACAAGGGTTTCTCTATAAATGGACAAGGTAAATATTCATAATTAATTTTATTTCTACTTGATAAAAAAAGAAACGAAAAAATATATTCGTCCCTTTTATTTAATAATATTATCTTTTTTTCTTTTTATACAGATATCGATGAATGTAAAACGATACCGGATTTGTGTAGAAACGGAATATGCATTAACACATTGGGTTCCTACAGATGTATTTGCAACAAGGGATATAAGTCTGATAAATCGGGGGCACATTGCATAGGTATATAAAATATTTTTAAATATTGATTGATTTTATATTTAAACGACGATCAGGATTGATATTAAATATGATCGTAGACGTGAACGAGTGCGAATTAACTCCCAAACCTTGCAAATATAATTGTCAAAACACTGAAGGAAGCTTTATATGTTCATGTCCTGTCGGTTTCATATTAAATCCCGACGGGATCAGTTGTCGGGACATGGACGAATGTGCTACAGGAAATCATCTTTGTCAACAAAATTGTGTAAACACTCAAGGAAGCTACACCTGCGGTTGTCGCGAAGGATATACTCAAGATGGAGATGCTTGTCACGGTTTGTGATTGGATGATTTTTCTATTTGATTTTTTGATTTCATTGATGTTTGGTATATATATATATAAAAAAAAAAACAAAAAAAAGAAACGAAACGAAAAATTTATTTTCTAGATATTGATGAGTGTGAACAACCCGGGACTTGTCCGAAACCGGGTACGTGCGTCAATACGCTTGGCAGTTTCCGATGTATCTGTCCCAGAGGATTTAAGCTCGATCAGTCTGGAAGATTTTGTACCGATAATAACGAATGTGCCGACGATAGTAATTGCGAGCATGGCTGTCAAGTATGTGAAAAATATCACGATATAAATGAATCGTCGATAATCGTTCTAAGATTTTTATAAATATTTTATAGAACTTTATGGGAAGTTATCGTTGTGGTTGTCCAGAAGGATTTGTTCAACATCTTTACTACAGTCAGTGCATAGACGAAAACGAATGTAGCAATTCACCGTGCGGTGAAAATACTTGTATTAACACTATTGGAAGTTACAAGTGTGGTTGCCCTGACGGTTATCAGTTTGATAATAATTTACAGATTTGCGTTCAAGTATGAAAATCATTCTTTGTGATTTTGATAAAAAAAGATTTCTTTGTTTTTTTTTCTTTCTTTTTTGTTTTTTTTTTTTTGACACATCTTTATTTGTTCAGGTCAGCGCAGGTTGTTTGGGATCTCCTTGTGCTTTTGGATGCACACCTAACGGAGCTAACGGTTTTATTTGCGGTTGTCCTACCGGTTATCAACGAATAGGACAAGTTCGTTATCAGTGATATTATTTAACCATTGCAATTATACTTGTTTCAATATTATAGTGATATTATTTTCTGTTTGATTTAGGGTCATTGTTTGTCTACGATTAATCCGTTATCTCAATCCAATTATGGAGAAGAAATTGGTAATGTACCAACTTATGTGATCAATCCGGATCCTTATCATATTCCACCGGCTGACGATAAAACTATTTCTACGGAAGGATGTTTCTCTTGCAAGGTCTTAACTCTACAGAGACATTTTTCTTTTTTTGTTTTTCATTTATTTATTTTATTTTTATTTTCTGTCTTTTTTTTTTGTCATTATGATTAAAAAAAGAAAAAAAAAACAAAAGAAAGATATTTATAACGGTGATAAAATATTATAGATAAACGGTAAAGGAAGACGTAGAAGAGGCGCCCGAATCAGATCGGTTGACGAGGAGTTACAACAAAAACGAGACGAATTAATCAAGATACGGATAACTCGAAAAGCAAGAAGACATCATCATGGCGAGGAATACGTTATGAAGATAAGTTTGCGCCAGACAAAGCATAGAATGAGAATCATTAAGTTGCAACCTGCTATAAAGGTAATAAATAAGATTTATCTTGTATAAAAGTCATTGTATTATTTATCGTTTGATTGATGATATTACAGGATGAAGAAATGGAATATACGATCGTTCGTGGTAACAAACATGAATATTTTGAAATTGCAAAGGATCATGGAATTTGGGCACTTCATTTCCGTAGTCGTTTGAAGAAACCAGGAGAATTCCGTGTAGTTATACACGGTCGTCCAAGAAACGGTATAACAGCGGAAAATGAAATCTGGGAGAAACCATTGACATTTAGAATTCATCTTATAGTAACCGAATGAAATAGATCAAATTATTTACTGACCGATGAATCCAGAAACAAACGATGCAAGCATTAACGTTCTCTTCACAATGAAACAGTATATTTAAATAACTCGTGTTGAGGACGTTGATCGATTAACATTATGATGATTTTAGGATTAGCTTTTAAGAATCAACGATATAATTTAATAATTTTATCTCTTTTTACTCGGTGGGCACGAGAGAGAACGGCGGAGAGGGGATAAGAGGGTAAAGGGCACACATCATATCAAAAATTTGATCGCAATTTTAAACGATAAAATTGATGCTATTAATTAACACTGCCAATAATTTAACTGATCGTACTCTCCAATGTGTTCAAAAAAAAAAAAAAAGAAAACAAAAAAAAAAAAAAAAAAAAAAAAGAAAAAAAGAAAGAAAAAGAAAAGTGAAATGATCGAAAGAAAAAAAAATTGGTAATTTCGCGACTTCAACGTTTTTCTACGATAGTTATTACCAAAGTTGACACAGATCGTCACTGCCAATCGACATCTTTCTATGAGTTCTTATTGACAATAATACTTACTGCCCGTTATAATGAAAAATTCTTAATGATAGTAGTAACAATCGATTAGAATTGTACAAACATTGAAGTCTTATTCTAATTGTAAGTAAAACAATAATTGTACACAGAAAACAGATTTTAGCTTATATATAAATATAATTTATGAAATTGTAGCATTAATGTAACACGAATGTAGGATATAATTTAGAATGATACGTAAAAGATAAAAAAAGAAAAAAAAAAAAGAGAGACTTGATTTTCGTATGAATCAAGCTTCGAATGAATCAGTCTCTTATTTCATTCATTATGTGCCTTTATAATGATTTAAAAAGAATTATACACACACATACACACATACACACATACACACACACACACACATATATATATATACATACATATATATATACATATATATATTTATATACAAAAAAAAGATATATACTTATGGAATAGCAATCATAAAAAAAGAAAAAAATGTATCATGTCTAATTTTCGTGCCTACGTATTACCGAATAATTTTATAATAGAATTTAAGACAATTTCGTAAGAGTGCAGAGCGCTATAATTACACGCATTGACTATGTGAATAAAAAAAAAAAAAAAAAAAAAAAAAAAAAAACCAAGTCAATTTTCTATAGCCGATCAATGTTTCCTCTTCGATGATGAACTTCGATGGCAGTAAAAAAGAAAAAAAAAAAAAAAAGAAAGAAAGGAAGAAGAAGAAGAAAAAGAAACAAAGAAAAAAGAAAAACAACTTTAAATTAATCTTTGGTTAGCAAACCAAATTTATAGGACATATCATGGACGTAAACCTTACCAGGATAAAGAATACAAGAAGGAAAATTATCTATATTAACAGCGTTAGGATAATTTTGTGGGGATAGAACGAAAGCTCCGTGCCGGCGATACGGGACACCTTCTTTACCATAAATCGTCGAATTTGTTTGATTCTAAAAGGAACGTAAGGTATGATTGATTATCATTCGTTAAAAATTTCTAATCGTTTAAATCAATAATTTCAAGGATCTTTGATTGTCATACCCTGTCATCACAAAATTTTGGAATATAATCCTCCCAATCTGATGGATAAATGAGATCAGGATCGGGCAAATCATTTCCAGTATAAAATTGTAAGCCAGGATGATTGGAATAAATTTCTAATGTCCTTCCTGATTCAGGATGTATGATCCTTCGATAGGAAAGAAGAAAAAAAATTTATAATGATTAATCGTATACAATAGTGATCGATCGTGATAATAATATCGGATAAAAATTTACCTAGCATGGAATCGATAACACCAAGAGCTTGGACTGCAAATACATAGATTATGATTGTAACCTCCTCCTGGTACGCGATAAAGTGTTTCTTTGGTTAATTGTGTCGGTAAACGTAAATCGTAGACGGTATTCTCGACAGAACGAATAGCACCCGTCGGCAAATAGTTTTTTATATCCATGAACGTCCAACTATCGGCATTTATCGTTACAACGTGTTTTTTTAATTCTTTAGGACCTGCAGCCTAATTAGATCAAAATATTAACAATTATAAATAAATACTATATTATCTTAGATGGCATTCATTTATAATCTTACATGGCCGGCCAAATTTAACAAAGAATAATTGGTGATATTAGCTGGTGTTGGCTCGGTAGCAGTGGCACGAATATTTATATGCAATTGATTATCGTCCGTCCAAGTATATTTAACTTGCGTCAACATATAACCGGGATAACCTTCTCTACCCGCAGGACTTAGGTGAGACATGACCTGTTTTTTATTTTTATTTTTATTTTTTTTTTCTTTTTCTTTTTTTTACGATTAGAAAAATTCAAACGAAAGGAATGATAAAAAGAAAAAAAAAGAGAAATAACCAATTGGTTGTATTTATGATCTACCACTTGTTTGTTCAATACATATGAATTCCAATTAACGTTATCAAACCCAACTAATCCGCCATGGATATGATCCCTTTTACATTTGTCATTGATCGACAACGAATAGATTGTCTTCTGAATACACATTTTACCATCGGCAACGCGATTCACTAAACGACCGATGATACTTCCTGTATACCTGTTCTCCAAATATCCTGATTACGTTGTCATTGAAAGTAAAAAAATATTGTATCGATTTCTAAATCTAATCGGACGCGAAGAAACGATCTTACCGTTCATATTATCAAATCCTAATACAACGTCACCTAATACGCCTTTCTTGTTAGGTACTTTGATAGATTGTATTCCCGCTCCCCAGGATATCAATCGAACCGTTGCCTTCTGTTTATTCGTCATGGTATATCTATTGGGTGGTGAAAAATTTATTTGAAAAACGTTGGATACTTTTTATTATTATAATTATTATTATTTTTTTTTCTTTTTTTTTTTTCATTGTTAATAATACAAAAACTTCAAAAAAAGAAAGGAATACCTTCTAACTATCTCGTAAGATCTTCCATATTCTTTAATATCTGGCCTTGGTACAAAACCAAAGCCATCCTCTTGGATGGAAGTATTTTCGGCGGCCATTTTACTAGGTTAGGTAGCTTGATAAATTTCTTCAATAGCATATCTTCGAGTAAAAAATTGAAATTAAAATAAATATTATTTAGCATTGGCACAATCAACGTTTGAAGATTTGAATTTCCATGTACTTTGTTCTACCGTTAAAACGATTAATTTAAAAAGATTGAAAAGTCATAAGAGAGACGACGATTAACGGACAGAAAATTTCATGTGACTCATTTCACTCGGCAAAAAGGGCGAAATCGAGGGGGCATGAAATCGACTGTCTAGCGACAGAGAAAAATCCCATTTATATTAAAAGCTAGGCTCGTTCTCTTGGAAAGTAATTAAATCGTGTCGCATACGCGCGTAAACGAGTTTCACGGGAGAGCGACTCGATAATATCCGTCGTGCTTTTTACATTTTCGAGGCACTTTAATCACCGACCGCGCAAGAATCGAATCGAATCAAATCAATGGAGAGAAAAAGAGAAAAAGAAAGAGAAAGAGAATGAGAGAAAAAGGGGGGATATATATGCGTGTGTATATATATATATATATATATAGGGTGTTCCAGGTATCTGATAACTGATAATTTTATAGTAAACAAATAATTCCAAAATAAAAAATATATTTATAATTTTATTTATTCATTCAAAAAATTAATTTACTTTTTCTTTTTCGAAAACAAAACATAGTGCAAAAATATTTCTCCTACCTTTTGTTCTACGAATCGTTGAATTATTTATGGGGTACACCCTGCTTATGTATATGTATATATATATATATATATACTTTCAATTTTATATATATATATATAAAATTTCAATTACTGAATTTCTACGATTATCGACGTTTCAATCGATCATTTCAAAAAAAAAAAAAAAGAAAAAAAAAAAAGAGAAAGAAAAAAAAGCGAAAAGGAAAAAAATTACAAAAGAAAAGGATGAAAGAAAAAATGGCTGAGTCTCCTTTAATGGCCTTAATAATGTCTCGAATCGTAAGTCTCGATTATATAGAAATATTTCGAGGCTTCGGAAACACTCGGTAGAAATAATCACATTAATGGCATCGCCGGCTAAAAAGACAGTGGATACATTGCGATTCAAGTCTGTCTCGTGGTTCTACAACGTTCGTGAGCACCCTCGATGAATGCTACGAAAGTGTGCTTCCCCTCTTCCCCCGTTCTACACCCCCTCCACAATCCCCTTATCCTTCCAGCCCACGTTCAACATCACACTGTCTCTTTCTCTCTTTCTATTTCTTTTTCTCTTTCTCTTTCTCTTTCTCTTTCTTCTCTTTAGCTCAACGAAGCATAATGTTCCACCTACGCGATGGCTAAGGTATAACAGTAGAGATCTCAACGTTGTCGTACTTACTCGCCTACCAACTCTACTCTCATGTTTTCTTCGCGACAATACATAATACCATTCTGTCGCGGTAACGGCGACAATGAACGCGCACGTTCTCCTAGAAAATAATTATCTTAATGTCGACGAGCCAACAACGACGAATGGAAACGACGACTATGACGACGGGGCCTTCTTGGAGAACTCACGAATTCGTCCTCGCTCGTTTTGAACAATACCTCGACGAATGTCACACGCCTTGTGTTCCTTCTTCTGAGTCCCTCCCCCTTTTCAACGTAGGGAATACTATGCGACATCCTAACCCCCCCCCACCCCCCATCGTACATACACTACCCCACAACCCCATCGTAATTTCTTGACACAGAAAGAAGATGAATGATTATTTGAATATACTTTATCTCGTTTTATTATATACGAACGAAAAGATAAATAAGAATATAAAAAGACAAGGTATAAATATCTAATGATTATTTGTGAAATAAATTTCAATCGATAATATACTCAGATAATAATTATTACATAAACCTATATACAGTACGAGAGTTCTTGTCGATAATGATTTTAGTATTGAAAGAAAGAAAGAAAGAAAAAAAAAAAATACAAAAAAAAAGCAAAAAAAAAAGAAAAAGAAAAAGAAAAACTTATCGGAAAATTTTATTTAAACAATTCATCCGTAGATGGTACACAATCGGTTTTACTTTTTACACAAGATATCATTGCTGAGTTCCGCTAGATGTCGTATAAAGTATTCCTTGTCCTAATACTGGGCTCACTCGACGGTGAGGTTGCGAACAGGAAGGATGGTTTATTGACTTTGTCATGTGTATTTTATTATTCGATATTGTTCATACTGCATTATAGATAATTCATTATTATCAATAAAAATGAAACATTAATTTGCGACGATGGATTCTATAATTGAATTTAATTTTTTTTTTGAACGATAATTCGAAAATAAATTAGAAAATTATAACGAATTAGATAGGGATGAAATTTATTTAGAATTTATGGAAGAAGTGAAAAATCACGTTTTTATGTCAAAGGATTGATTAGATAAGTCAAGAACTTCGTTGATCAATCGATCGATCGATCGATCATAATCGCATAAGATATATAGAGATTTGAAGATAGGTATTACAGCAATCGGCCGGAGTTTGTAAATTCATTTGGTGTGCCTGCAGGCGAGAGATCTTTTGTCGTTTAAGCGAAAGAGAGAAAGTGGATCTCAAAAGGGGGTGGTGGCGAAGGGTGATGAAGGAGAACGTCAACGTCGACGATAGCGCTGGAAAGGAAAGAGAAAGTGCGTTTTACCGTGACCACCCGGATCGTATTATTCCCCCTTTTCCAATCTCAATTAGTCATTACGTCTCACGGCTCGGCATAGCGATGCCCTTCTCGAAACTCCCTCGACGTCCATGCTGGGTTTCTGCATTAATTGCGTCTACGCCTCGGTAGTCTCTCTACACTGTTTTCTCTCCCTCTCTCTCTCTCTCTCTCTCTCTTCCTTTTACCTCCTTCCCTCATACAGGGTGTTTCGAAAGGGATTAGCGTCGTTAACAGAAAAATAAATCCATTTTCACTTATTAGAATCACGAAACGATGGATGGCTTAAATTGACAAATTTTTCATTTAACTGATATATCATATATTTTATTATTTTATTACAAGCTCGTAAGCGTATAATTCATATAATAATATAATTAAACGAAGTTACATCGTTAATAATCGTATTAATTCTCAAATATTAATTGACCAATGTAAATGATTTTATCGTACCATAAATCGTAATATTGTCTTACGTTCGAGAGTCACCCTATAGATATTAGATGCGTTCACGCACGTGGCAGAGCGCGAGTCGCTCGAACGGGTTCTGGGGTTGCTCGCACCCATTTCACCCGCGCCCACCCACAAAACCGGCGAGGCAGTCGCTAATTACGCAACGCGTTCGAGCGTACACATCGGGGTGGCGACGTGGTATGGACCTACCGTCTCTCTCACTCTCTCTCTCTCTCTCTCTCTCTCTCTCGCTGCTTTTATGCAACATCGTTCGCACCCTCGAACGGCATATCTTTCGCCAACGATTGCCTATAATCAGCAGAAATTCGATGCGATTATCGCACTATCCTGCACATCAGGAAGGAGATATCCTCCATCCATAACACTTTCAACCCCCTCAGTTACCTGTCGGGATCGTTCCCGTTGGTCGAGCAATCGACTTAATTTGTAGGGTTCGACGTCGCACGAATAATCGGACTCATCCGAGTGATGTGTTTCTTCTCACAAAATATATATATGTATATATATATATATATATAAGTTTTATATATATATATATATATATATATATATATATCGTTATACCTGAGTTCGAACGATCGCTAATTAGTTGGAGAGTTCTAGTTGTAAAGCTGGATTGTAAGATCTCTCGACGTCTTACCAAAACTTTACGTGGTTTAAGATTCTCTCGAACGTTTCCATAAGGTTAAGAAAACATCTGATGATTTCAAATCATTAATAAAAAAAAAAATTAATGATGATGATGATGATGATGATGATGATGTTGATGACGATGAGGACGATGACGATAATGTAGATGATGGTGAAAGCAAGGCCACACTTAAATTACCTAGGAAGCATCGGTGGCATTCATACGTGGGGTAAGCATTGTCATCCCAAGGGATTGTCTCGCGGAGACACCTCACTGGCACACGCTTTATGTCGCAGCGAGAAGCTAGAAATAGGGGTGGCGACGAAGTCGACAAAGGGAGGAAGGGAATACCTTTATTAGGTAGATAAGCGAGATGCGAGTGCGTTATATAGATGCCCATCCAGCACACGAAGCTGCCTCGTTTTACTCACTTCAATGCCTAATGGAATTGAGTTCTTGTAAGCGAACACTCCTACCACCCTTCAGCCCCTGGCCCTGATTCGACCGCTCACCTCTACGTTCGCGTTCGACGTAAGGGTTGGTTGGATGGACTGTAGAGAGAGATGGACAGAGACACATAGAGAGAGAGAGAGAGAAAGAGAGAGAGGGAAAGAAAGAGAGAGAGAGAGAGAGAGAGAGAGAGAGAGAGAAGACCGGTGAAGCGGAGGACACGAGATAATTGGTATTTTGTCTCGCCGAATCCTTTGTATCTCGAGTTTTAATTGACTTCGAGATTTTTCAATACCAATTACTTTACATACATCATCTATTACGATTTTCCTTCGACCTTCTTTTTTCTTTCTTTCTTTCTTTCTTTCTTTCTTTAATTTCTTTTTGTCTTTTTCTCTTTCTTTCTTTTTCTTTTTTTTTTTTTTCATTTCCCTTTTTCTATTAATATCACTGCGCACACTAAGATAATATACGTACTTAATTCATAATTTATAGATCTACTCTCTCTCTCTCTCTCTCTCTCTTTCTCTCTCTCTCTCTTTCTCTTCTTCTTTTCGTTCCTTTCTACTAAGACGTTTTAAAAATGTCCGTCGAATTTGAAATCCTTCGCTTCGGTATCTTCAAATCGATGAAATAATAATGTCATCGAAATCGACTTGGAATATATTATTTTATAATATATTTTTATTATATCCATGTGAACGACATACTAAAATAATAATAATAATAATAATAAAAAAATAATAATAATAATAATAACAATATTAATAAAGGCATAGGGAAAATAAGGGCAGGCGAGTCTCGCGAACGTGTTTATGTAAACTCATTCGATAAACACCGTCGGAATGGCGATCGCGAGCGATTATTTTTCATCATCGAAGAATCATTCTTTTCTCATTCTTTGTCCGTCCTTCGTTTTTCATCAATTTTTCTTTTTCTTTTTGATTTTTACAAATACCCTTTTTCCTCTTATACCTTTTCTTTTCTTATACTTCTTCCTTTCATAGTTCTCTCATATTGTTTTCGAATTCTCGTAATCGTGCAGCTTATCCGTCTATATACGAAATGATTTTCTTTCCTTTTTCTTTTTTCTTCTTTTTTCTCTCTTCTTTCTTCATTTGTCAAAGAACACTGATCGATCTTAAAGCTTGCCGAATAAACGGGCTAACGACACTGAAACTCGGGAATACTTTTGAACCTTCAATTTGATTCTAAGACGATTCAAGGAATCTTCAAAATGCCTGCTGCGCTTCGTATAATGCCGTTCGAGTGGCCCATGAATCTTTTGAAACACCTCTTTCTCTCTCTCTCTCTCTCTCTCTTCCACCCCCTCTTTCTCTATCTTCCTTTCTTTCCTTCTCTCTTTTTCTACCTATCTCTCTTTCTTCGTCGAATACAATCGTTTTTACTAGGGCATTAGTGATATTGGCAGAGACTCTAAATACCTCTAAATACTTCTAAATGCGAGCGCACGCCCCGATGGATCGAACGGATCGCAATTTATTTGAAAAGGGTAGGAGAAGCTTTCCTAAGGGCGCGGCGTGTACGACTACGCGCAAACGACTAATACAGTTCGTGGACGAAGAAAGAGAAAGAGAGAGAGAGAGAGAGAGAGAGAATGAGGGAGTAAGAGAGAAAATCTTTATTCGGTCGTATTGCCGAACGTCCTTAGGGACGTCGAAGGGCGTGCGGAGGGCCGAGATTGGGGAAAGGGGCAACGTTCCTCTCGTTCCTTTCGCCGCTGTTGCTTTTCATTCTAATCCAAGTGCCTGTCGTCGAGAGATTTTTTCTCCCCATTGTTCGTCAGATTTCCCATAGGAAGGCAAACGGCAGATTTCGACGGCTATTGTTTTTACGAAAGAACCGGGGAGAGGCGAGCCAGCCGAGATACGAACTCTAGCGATAGACCCTGATTGATTACTCGAACGAGCTAAAAAGCTTCTTGCTAGAGAAAGCTTCGTAAGCTCGATAAACGGTCTTCTCTATTTTCGGCTTTTTTCTTTTTTTTCTTTAACTCCTCCCTTCTTCTACTCCTTGTCCTCGCCCTTCTCCTCTTCCACCATCCCACTCGTCCGTCCGTCCCTTTTTTCTTTATCGATCTTATCCTGAAAACTAGGTGATCCAGCACTTCGACAAGGTACTACTGAATGATCATCATGTAACAGATCTGTTATTTAATGGATCGAGTTCAGAACAAATAATATGTTGAATGTGTGAGAGAGACAGAAAGAGAGAGAGAGAGAGAGAGAGAAAGAGAGAACGAGAAAAAAAAAGGAAAGAGAAAGAGAGAGAGAAAGAGAGAGAGAGAGAGAGAGAGAAGGGAAGAACCTAATCGTTGCTAGCAGAAACCAAAGCAGAGAGGATTCGTAGCAGTAGTATCCTAAGGGCTAGGAGGGTGCCGAGGTGTCGAATGGGTGGGAGAGGAGCGTGACCAATTATCGCGCGATATCACGTCGCGGTGTTCCTACGGCTGCTAGGCGAACGGTGCCAGTCGATAACGGCTGGTCTATACGCTATTTGTACTTGGTCGTATCGAGGTAATCGATAATAATAATTGCAGCTCGTGGTCTTGGAGGCAGCCCTCCTCCACCTCTTGGAACGGCCCTACAAGCGGATGGGGTTGCGAATCTTGCTCGGGGTAAAAGAGTGTTTGTAGGGGAGAGGTAGAGAGAAAAGGCACGCGTGCGGAGGAAGAACGCCTCGACGAATGGGATGAAGAGGGTGGTTCGTGGGCAGGGCATAGGAACCGGCGTTCGAAAGGTTCCGCCCTCGAAAAGGTATGTAGGGAAAGAGGGAGAAACTGTGTGAGAAGAGGGGGGGAGACAGAGAGAGAGAAAGAGAGAGAGAGAGAGAGTGAAAGAGAGAGAATAGAACGACTGAGAAAAAGAGAGAGAGAGATAGAAAGAGAGAGAAAGAACGATTGAGAGAGAGGGACGAAGATAAAAGATGTCTCGTGGCAAGCTGTTTCTACGTTCAGTCGACATCGGTACTTCTTTCGGGAACGTTCGAATACTGTCCGTGTTTTCTTTCACAGAAAAAAAAAAAAAGAAAAAAGAAAAAGAGCACAAAAACAGAAAGGGACATAAGGAAGAAGAAATTACACGCAAAGAAGTGAATGAGAAAATTTATTGAAAATTGATGTATGGATTGTGAAGTGAATTTAGGAAAAAAACTTTCACATATCTTTGTTATTTTATTATTATAGGTATATATTTTTTCTTTCCATTTGTGTGGTGTATTAATACTCATATCAGTGGTTAATATATATAGTAATAATAATAATAATAATAATAATAATAATAATAATAATAATAATAATAATAATAATAATAATAATAATAGAAAAGAAAGAACCGGAGGGTTAATAAAGAATATTCGAAGAGTGAATTTGAATTTCCATCACGGAAGGAATTATGATGAGCACTCATCAACACCCGAGTTATGGATTTCTCTCGGGTATGGATTTACACTCGGTGCACCATGTGAATCAAGAAATGGGCGCGAGCGCACAACAGAACGTCGTAACAGCGCAAGAACAACATATAAAAAGACCGATGAACGCGTTTATGGTATGGTCGAGAATACAACGAAAGAAAATTGCTTTAGACAATCCGAAAATGCATAATTCAGAAATATCGAAGCGTCTCGGTGCGGAATGGAAACTTCTTTCAGATGCGGAAAAACGACCGTTCATTGACGAAGCCAAACGATTACGTGCTATGCATATGAAAGAACATCCAGATTACAAATATCGACCACGAAGAAAACCAAAGGTACCGGTATCAGTAGTTTCTGGTAAACCAGGTTCCATGAATCCTGGGGGGTTTCCAAGTTTTCCCCTTCCACCATATTTTGCTGCACCAACAGCTCCAGTTTCTCATCATCATCATCATCATCATCCACATCCACTTGACTATCCACCTTTGTCACCATATTTTGGATCTGCCTTCGATGCCGTTCATTTGAGCAAGCTCGTTGCTAGCGGTGGTGCATCAAGTGCCTCGAGTTCGAACTGTGCGGCAGCCGCAGCCGCGGAAGCGACAAGTAACAGTGCAGCCTCCGCTGCGGCTGTTGTCAGTAGCTTCTATTCTGGATTATATTCCACGGCAGCATCACCTATAAAAACTTATCACACCCCCTCGACTCATCTTGGGCCTTTATTCTCAAGTGGTCATCACGCGCCACCGGGATCAAGTCAATCAACGCATCCATCCCTTGTATTTCCATCGACTTCATCTAACGGAACTGGAAGTATCGTCACGACGACCAGCAGTCCCGGAAGCAGTCCAAGATCACCTCCAGTGCCGTCCACACAACATAGTCATCAACAACTCGTAACACCCACGACTACGCCGAGCCTTGATCTCGATCAACATCGTAGACCGGTCTCCGTCATTTTTTAATCTTTTTTCAAGCCTTCTCTTTTAATCGGCACAGCGAATGATTACTTAAAATGATATTTGATCACGTGTATTCTTCGTCGACAGTCCTGGTTCTCTTTCAATCTCAAGAGGATAACCTACCTACGACGCGAATATAATTTAATTATCATAATTGCAATGTTGATGAAAAGAAAACGATCATTTAGGTGGAGTTTTTTCAGATTTCTTTTTTTTTCTTTTTTTGCAATTCTATCTTGTTCATTCTTTCTCCACCCACCCCCACCCATCCCACCTTTGTTCAATCTGTATCCTTTTTCTATTCTGCGTTTGAATACAATTATATTTTTTTTCGAATAATCATGCTTGTATATTTGTATTAAGAACGCGATCGTTTTATTTGGAGAAGTTTCTTTACTTTTAATCGTTCGCTGAATTTCATTGTCACTTCCAATGATCTTTAGAAATTAATAAAGGATTGGCTAGTCAAGATTTTCACAAATAACGTGATTTTTCGTCGTTAGTTATATAGTTTTAATTACAATTGTGTAAATAATATGTAAAACTGATAAACAATTCGAACGAGAACAATTCTTCTTAGGATCTATTGAATTCGACGATTTTTTGTCAATCAATTTCTTCACTCATTTAAAATATATATGTATATATATACGATTATATGGGCCGTTCATCTTCCAAAGTGATTAATATTTCACGAAATAAAGATTAATGGAACTTGAGAAATTTGTTTACAATATATATATATATATATATATATATATATATATATATATATATATATATTGTTTTTTTTTTTATTAGTAAATTTACACATGTATATTGTTTTTTTTTGTATTTTAATTTATAATTGATAATAAATAATAATTATTTTGTAAATTATTTATTATCGCCATATGAAATTTTGTTACGAATAAATGATATTGATCATAATTATCAAGGAAATTTATTTTCGATATAAAATAATAATAAAACAGAAAAGAAAAAAAATGAAAAAATTACAAAAAAGGAAGTTAGTCTCTTTGGTCTTTGAACTTCATATATATATATATATATATACATATATACATACATACATATATACATGTATATATATATATATATATAATTTTCTGTTTACAAACGAAACACACACACATACACACACATACATACTAATATCTTATTAAAGAGTTTATTCTGCGTTATGTATACGTATACGTATATGAAGCTGACAAAAAAATTGTAAAGCCAATGTATAAATGCTCGAATGTAAACATTTCGTATGTAACACGCGTTCTTAATTTCTAAGAAAAGAGAAAAAGAAAGAGATAGATAGATAGAAAGAAAGAGAGAGAGAGAGAGAGAGAGAAAGAGAGAGAGAGAGAGAGAGAAAAAAGACAGAATATATACATATAATGAAGACGCCACGTGCATCGTTCACTGTGATTTTCGTTGTGATTCTACGTATGTAAACAAATGATAAATACAATTGTAAGAGAAGGAAAAAGTATCTCTTTCGAAAATATCAACTTTATAGCTTAAAATTTTTGTGTGTGACGTACCTTTTATTTAATCATATTATTATTGATTTTCAATTTTTCTATATAACGAATCAAATAGAAATGCGCGTATAGCACAAGAGAAAAAAAAAACATTGTTGCACTGTCTCGTGTTATTTATCGTCTGGTGTTGTACACCAAGAAGCAGAGAGAAAAAGAAAAAGAAAAAGAATAAAAGATAAAAAAAAAAAAAAAATAAAAAAAAAAAAATAAAAGAATAAATAAAGGACGAAAACTTTTCCCTCTTCTTCTTCTTCTTCTTCTTCTTCTTCTTCTTATTCTTCTTCTTCTTCTTTTTATGTGTACACACGATTGTATAGATTTTGAGATGTTGTTCTTCAAAGAAAAAAAGAAAAAGGAAAAAGAAAAAAAAAAAAAAAAGAAAAAAAACATATACACTTTGTAATAAAATTGATACGCTCGTGATATCTGTGCATTCTCCAAATAGTTTTTATGTATATTGTTTTTGTTATGAATAAATTGTTATTATTTGTTCGTAGTACAAAGCTTATCTTTATGAGCGTATCCGTTAGAACTTTTAAAGTTATTAAATAATTTAATGAGATCCAATATTTAATATTTATATTTAATAGGTCATAATACATAAAAACTATAAAGCCACTTTTGAAGGTTACGGCTAAATATTATTATCACCTTTATATTTATATTTCCTAGGTGGAAATAATAATTATAATGTCTTTCTGGATTACATTTGGATATTAAATTACGGTAAGCGGATAAAAAATATTATGATTATGTTATGATAACGCTTTGTTAAAATATTTTCTTTTTTTCTTTTTTTTTTTTTTTTTTTTTATTTCATATCACGTAATAACAGATCTGTTCTTAGGATAAATCTAATTTATTTATTTACCTAACTTAAATCAATTCGACAATTTAATATCGTTATTAAGCTTTTGAAATCGAACAATTAAGAAAAACATTCGTATTTACGTGAGACGTATTTCTTCGAAAATAGAAAAAGAAAAAAAAGGGAACAAATTTTTCTATTGTTAAAGTGTTTATTGCGACAATTTATTATGCAATTGTCGACGAAAATCAAATTCGATCTCGATAAATAATTGGTATAGAATACGATCGGTATGTCGATGGACAGATCGATCATGCTCAAGAAGAAGGTAAAAAAGTTATTTTTTTTCTTTTTCTTTTTTTTTTTTTTTTTTTTTTTCCCTTGAAAAACAATTGGAGTCCAACGTTTATCCTTTAGATATATTTCTATCTATATAGAAAGATATCTATCTACCAGGTTTACGTGCGAACAATAAACAGAGAATGGAACGGTGGACGGTGGCGGTGTTGTAGCGTTTGTTTTCAAAGTAAACACGATAAGAAAAGGTGGGGAGAAATCAAATTCTTGAATATTATTTTACCGAACGTAACCAAAAGAAACCGTGTCATGCTGAGTCTTTTCTCTGTCAGTCAATTGTCAATGTTAACTGCATATATCTCCTCACGTCATACATTCTAAATTCTTTTTATCAATAACAATAAGAAGATCGATGTTGGCGTTCAGATCAAAGCGCGTCAATGAATATTTACTGACCATCAAAAACGTTACCCGTATAAATCAAATTTAAGTCACGTCAACATATTTACACGTCCAGTTACTTATTTATTATTTTTCTGATATAATTAAAGGTAATTCCTTTACCTTTTATTCCCATTATTTCCCTGATATTTCCCATTTTTCATAATTGTTGTCTGTATCCCACTTAAATTCTCTATGACCTTAAATAAGTTTCTAACAATAACGTTTTGAAAATGGTTATTCCCATCCTTCACAATTCAGTATTATAGGTACGAAAGTTCGATTTTCCATGTTAAACTATGACAGCTGTTGTAAAACTAATTTCACTAATGTACCCACTTGAAAGCCTGGTATTTATTGATGTATGATACCTAAGAAAGCTACACGCCTGTTGTTCAAAGGTTTCGAAAGTAAAAGAAAAAAAGAAAAAAGAGAGAAAAAGGTAGAAAATTAGAGAGTTAGAGGCGTGACAGAAAAAGAGAGAGAGAGAGAGAGAGAGAGAGAAGGTAAGAGAAAGAAACAAGGAGACGTCAGGTTCTCGTCAAACGGCACTTTTCGTTGCACCGTACTCCCTTCTCTTCAATTTCCTTTCTCTCTCTCTCTTTTTGTACATTTGGTGCATTGAAAATCTCACCCTGAAACGTCGAAGGTGACCACCCTTTCCTTTACATTTATGGGAGGTATAGACGCGAGAGAACTTCTCCCCCGTTTCTCTCTCTCTCTCTCTCTCTCTCTCTCTTCTTCTTCTTGTATAGCTAAAGCAGCACTCTTCGTCACCCCAATGGGCATTGCGTTTCGCAATAACTACCCTCTGTTTAGAGGCCAATTGTATTGGCGCGGGGCCCTTTTTACTCCTTTTCAAACGGAGAAACCCCGCTGGCTCTGTTGGCCTGTTTCCTCGGTGGGGTGCGTGGATTCTCCTTTTTTTTTTTACTCTCTCTCTCTCTCTCTCTCTCTCTTTCTCTATCTCTCTCGCTCTCTCCCGTTCTCGTGTGTATATTATATAAGCGTTCCTATCGAGAACTCTCGCGAGAACTTTCCTTGGTGCTTCCTGAACGGACTTCCGATCGCGCTTTGTACTTTTCTCGCTCGTTTCGAACCCTTTTCAAAGTACGTTTCCCTTTTTGCTATTTTCCCTGTCAAAAGTTTGGAGATTCGATGGGACTCAATTATCTTTGTGATCATGTGAAAATTATGATTTGAATTTTTCCTTTCTTTCATTTTCTATTTTCTCTTCTGTTTCCTTTTTTTCTCCTCACTATCAGATTTGTGCATATTGATTTTTGCATGCGATGCTTTCGATTCGGTAGAACAAAAAAATAAATAAATAAATAAATAAATAAATAAATAAATAAATAAATAAATAAAGAAGAAAAGGGAAGGAAGAAAAAGATTTAAAAAAAAAGAAAAGAAAGAAAAAAACAAAGAAAAGAGTAAAAAAGTGCTTCCGAATCAATCGAAGGGATTTGAGAAAAGAAAAAGGCTTTAACGAGTCAAAGTAAGTACCTTAGATCGAGGCTCTTTTAATTGATCAATACCAAGGCAGTGACTGTTAAGTGAAAACGTACATACGTACTTAGTTACTTCCTTTTGCAATGTTACGACGGTGATGGGGCGTAGAGAGGGGTTGGTGGAGGGAGGAGGAGAAGGGAGGGAGGGTGGTCGCACTCGACTCCTCACTATTGTTTTCAACGAACAAAATCGAAACAATATCCACTTAGTGAGTTAAGGATTCTTATTGGACGAGATACAATGAACTTAAAAGTTTCGTTAGCTTGATCGCTGACCCTCGACGTCGTCATTCTTTTAATTGAAAAGTGCCATCCGTCTACTTACTTACTGGTGGCCCTTCTTTTCTTTTTCGTTTCTTTTTTTTTTTTCTTTCTTTTTCATCTCTCTTTCTCTCTCTCTCTCTTTCTAGATGGATATATTTTATTCAAAAAGGAAGAAGCTTTTTGTTTCGATTTCCGAAACATTTGGCACGACAGAAGTTCTCTTTCGTTCGTTCATTCTCTCTCTCTCTCTCTCTCTCTCTCTCTCTCTCTCTCTCTCTTAATTTCCATTGAAACGATTCTATAGAAAGTTGAGAGTAAATCAAGATAGCGAATATTACCGTTAAATTCGCTACGATAAATTTCAAACGATAAGCTTCTTCCTATTTATAAATAACTTTCCATTGGTAAGATAAAGACATTTACAAATACGTTTCCTTATGATCGAGTTTACGAATCTCCCTTGACAGAAACGTTTCGTTTGCGAACAGCTACATAGCCATTCTCTCCTCATGATTAGTTAATCAATTAGCGTCTCGAAGTTATACCTATTCGGAATCCCTTTGAATACCTTTGAAAGCGGACCGATGTAGCGCAAAGGAATACTGGAAGCCCTTTCTAGTTCCTGGAATCAAATGTTTCAATTAAATTCTATAATAACTTGATATAAACGTATACGTTCACTTATATCATTTATCATTTATTTCTTACGTTCGATATATCGATTATTGTTAATCACATTGGATACGTATTAT